AATAGTGTCACTCAACCATGCCCCATTCTCATGTCCTCTGCTTGCTCTCACCACAGGCCTCTAGTACCGCCTAGCCAGGGGCCCCCCGACTTTGTGCTGCACCTTCACACACTCACAATCAAGGCTCGGCCATAAAATGCCCGTGGAATGTTTCTGCAGAGCTGGACAGTTAAGTGGTGGAAATGCATGATCACAAACTAGAAAGACTCATAATGGATGTTCTGGGAACAGATATTAGTAGGCTCCCCGTGTTCTTGCTAACAAAATACATCACACATAAGGACATGAAAGCACAAATGTGTGCACAGACAGGCAAATGCACACACACACATACTCACACATGCACATACTGCACTTAGGGGCAGACAGTATTGATGGTTCCCTCGGGCATCACACGGACGCATCTGTTTCTGTCCCACTGAGTCTCCACACTCATAATTTCAAGTAAAGTCATAACACAAATTATAAACACATATCCTTCAACCGTGACGCCTAGGAATAACAACATGGAGTGCGCTGAGCTGATTTAGGGGAGGCTGGGACTCTTAAATCTTTACCTTTGCTCCTTTCTTCTTTGCTCCTTTCTGCTCCTCTCTGTCCTTCGACAGCAGCTGCACCTCTCCTTTTCTTCCCTCTTTTCTCATGCAGCACAGGTAGCAGTCACTCTTGTCTAACACATGCTTCCCCCTTGTTCTATTGCCTTCTTATCTCGCCATCTCTCCTTTTTCTGATCGTTTCTATTCTTTCCCTGTCGGCTCTGCCGTGCTTTCTCTACCCCTTCACAGCTAAAGCATCCGTCACGTCACGTCTTCTTCCTTTGAATTTGTTTCACACAAATGTACACATATGTTCACTCTTGACCCCATCTTAACCCCATCGTCACCCAGAAATCTGTCTGGCCTGCCAGTCTCCCATCTGCCCTGTGACATCACCGTCCTCTGACAGCAGCTCCACCTCAAAGATGTCTTCATCAAAGTTTTCTCTCTGTGTTTTTCTTTCCTTTGTCCTGAATTATGTCCTTCCGCCTCACGTCTCCTCACCCTTCTCTTCTTCCACTCTTTTGCATTCCACACACACACACACTCTTTCCCTCTCACCTCTCATCGCATGGTCATGTACTTTAGCCATCCATCTCCCACCTCTGTAGATCCAAATGTCTCAATGTGTCCCAGGGACCATGAAGGTTCAATTGAAATCACATGTTCTAGTCTAGCGGAGGATTTCACCCTTTATAAATAAGTTGTCAGTCCAGCTTGGGCTATTCTACAGAGCCTTGCATGCTCTCTCGCAACACTAAGATAAAATACGAGACATGTGAGATGTATCAAAATACACAGCTGTTTATGTGAGCATCATGTTTATCTTATCAGCCAAAAATATTGTTATCTCAGTAGAATGTAAAAACCAAAGGAGATGAGTCTTTTTTTGGAGATCCAGCAGTGGGATTTATTTGTCCTTTTATTGAAGTGCCTTTTGACTTCTCAGTGCATAGGGTCTGACTTTTATGAAGACTAATCACAAGTTTGTCATGAAAAACCATTTCATTGTCGCCCCTTTCAATCAGACAGGAAATGAAGATAATCCTTTGTTTGTCCAAGACACGCCAAGTCTAAGTTAAGCAGGGAGTGAGACAAGAAGGGAGGAAAAAGAGAGGCTTCACCCACTCACGATCAGCCAGCAGATGCAGTACAAACATTTGTCTTTTTGTGTGTGTGTGTGAGCGTGTGTGCGTGTGTGCGTGAGTGTGTGTGTGTGTGTGTGTGTGTGTGTGTGTGTGTGTGTGTGTGTGTGTGAGTGTGTGGCGTGTGTATGTGTATGTGTGTATCAGATAGATGAATCCTGTCTGCTAGATTTATGTGCATTGCGAGCGTGTTCTACATCAAATGCCAAATGGCTGCTCAAATTAAATGTGATTAAATACTCCAGTGTGATTCGGGTTCAAAGACTGTGAGTAATATTAATCAGCACACACTCGCAGGCACACACACACACACACACACACACACACACACACACACACACACACACACACACACTTAATGCTCACACAATCACTGATTGAGGATGTGGGAGACAAAGTTTACAGCCTGGCTAATCATAATAATGCCCCTTTTTATTGTTTTAGGAAGACATCACTCAGCAGAATCATGCAGTGCTACTCAAGAGAGCAGCCGCAAGGAGACAGTACCGTAATCTGCCGTGTTAATTTAGAGACTGGAAGTGATTTAGCTTTAGCAGCGAACCATGGCAGCCACATCGGTTCAGAGGTTTCAGTCAATCAGGCTTCGAACGTCCCATGGTCAGGCGGTCAATCTCAGCTGGGAAGTCTGTACCTGTGCTAAAGAGATGGGTGCAGGTGAGATGGATGTGACAGTCATGTCTTCACAGACAGCAAAATATAGTATGTTTTGGTCATAAATAGACAAAAAAAAAAGTAATTATAGTCATTGTTGGGGTAAAGGATTGCAGCAGACAGACAAAGAGAACTTTTTTTTTGTTTATGGCTTTTCTTCAGCAGGGGTGGACCGGGTGGTTGTCACTGCAACACTCAGTGTAATAAACAAAGAATTACAGCACACGCAAAAACCACGTCTTTCATTAGCTGATTCAGGAGAGGCAACTTGATGAATGGGAGTGTAACCATCCTTGATGAAATGACTCAGTGGTGGTCCGAGGGAGATGGATCTGTGTTTGGCGCTTTGAGATGCGTACACAGATAAAATAAACCTCCCCTTTTACTGGGGTGGGGGTGGTGGGGAGATTAGTGGCCCTAACCTTTCACTGCACTCTTTTCTTGCACCAGATTGACCCTGCACTTCATGCGTCACCCTCTTAGATATCCAGAGTATTCTGAAATTGCAGTCTCATGGTGACTGTATTATTCCTTGAAATAGATGGAATAGTGTGATTATTCTCTTGTATTTACAGTTACATTCTGACTTTAGAAACTATCCCCAAGCTGTGTTTGCATGCAGTTAAAACCTGAATGGAATCAGGATGTGGTTGTGGCTGTGAGGCTACTAGGATGTTACTCATTGTTGTTGAGTTTCCATATCTGGCAGTGTGGTGTAAAGAGGGCAGTTCTGTGAGTAGGTTTGGGCTGTTAATCTGACACATTGTTTAAGAACAGCGACACATTGTGCCACATTCCTTGCCCATATATGACTTTGTGCCTCACCCTTTCACTCTGTTTAACACAGCCAGAGATAGAGTAACGGAATTAGGATGCCATTGACTAAAAAGCTAAATTCATCATTAAGTTTGGTAGGCCGAGGATGTAAATTTGGACCACATGAAGTAGGATTGGAAAGTGTGTTGTTTGATCTGTGGATTTATTGATGGGATTTTTTTTTATTTTTTTTTAACTAAATCTTTTAACTATTTTACAATGTGAATGGCCAGGTCAAGCAGAGTAAACCTGCAGTCTAAAACACTTGCTCTGGTACAGTCCAGTGTAGGTAGGTGTGTGTAGTAGCTGAATGATGTGTGTGTGTGTGTGTGTGTGTGTGTGTGTGTGTGTGCCCATTACAGTGAGCATTAAAAGGAATAACAGTGGAGGTGTGGGGAGACGAAAAGTGTCACGTTGGTCCTGCTCGGTGATGAATGGTGTGATTAGCTGCTGCGATCCATGTCAGGACACACATGCATTGCCCGCACAAATACATGCGCAACATGCGAGCACACACTTGAGCACACATGAACACAGAGGGGCCTATTAAAGGCCTTGAATATGGGAGAATCCAGAATCCAGATGCGGCGTGCAGATAATTGTACTAAAAACACCAAATGTTGAGTCCCAGACCAGCAGGACTTTATTCTGAGTTCAGCATGTTTATTTTCACAATTGAGTTATTTCTGCAGGGACTTAAATCACGGAATAAAAACACTCCAATGCAGGTCAATTTTTAATTGAGTCCAAAGTGTACCCTCCCTCCTCCTCTTCCTCTACCCCTCACCTCACACAAACCCACACATTACGTTACCATACTGGTTTAATGCCCTGCTAATTTCAAATGCGATTTAAGAGTCTGGAGTTCAGCCATGTTATGTTTATCCAACTTAAAATACCTTCAGTAACTAAACACTAGTTAGAGGTTGAGACTCCTGCGATGGTCATTCAGATGAACTTTGTAGAGACAAAGACCCATACATAAATTAAGCCACAGTCTGCTGTACACATAAACGCGTGTTCCTAGGCTCTCCCTTCCATTTTTAATCATATTTGCCGTGTTTCTGAGGTCACTATCCCCAGTACAAGAGGTGTGTGTGTCTGGCTACCCGTGAGAATGTGTTTGTGCTTCTGAGTTTACGAGAGTGGGCGGATAACACAAGTGTTTGTCACAACAGTGGATTCGCAGGATCCTGCTTGATGACGAGGATAGTCATCACCAATCTGCTGCGAAGACGGGTTACGCAAGGCAATCTCTCTAAAGCCCCGGGGGTGTAGATGTATTCATCTGGTTGTGTGTGCATGATGACGCTTGGGTGGTATGTTTCCTCTGCACCTGTGGACAGTCATTTGCTGTCACCCACCCACCACACACACACACACACACACACACACACATGCACTGTGGTAACCAACGGTGACAGGGGAAAGATGTCATATCCTCCTCGGCCTACTATATTTGGGCTCCATTACACTATGACATTCCCATGAGTCACACTGAGGTACGACTAATACAGCACTTAGCAGACCACTTCAAAGATGTCTGCTTTCTTTTCTGCGGAATATCCGTCTGAGTTTAAGGAGCTCTGGGATGAGTGAGCTTGCTCTGACATCTGCATACGTAGAAGAGCCTACAGCTGCAGATGTGGCATCTGTGTCTCTGTGCTGTCCACCTGTTTATTTTCCAACTAAAAAAATCAAATGTTTCCTCATTCTAACTTTTTATTGTCACTTTGGAGAATAAATATGACTTGCTTTTAATATTTTGTCCTTTTACGATAACGTCGCTCCTTAACTTTTCCACCCTGTGTTCCACTTTTCACCCCTTCAGGCAGCAGGCTTTGCTGGCAGCCATCAGTGAGAAGGATGCTAACATTGCCCTGCTGGAGTTATCCTCCTCCAAACGGAAGAAAGCCCAGGAGGAAGTGATGGCTCTGAAGAGGGAGAAAGACAGGCTCATGCACCAGCTCAAGCAGCAGGTACATCCACCACATGCGACCGCAGCCTATTTATACATGCATATAAACGATGAATCAAATTTACAGCACCCCTGGTCTAAAAGGTTGACTGGCCTGCAAATGAATGAAATGGAGCCTGGCCTTGCGGTCACCATTTAGGACAGATTCTGGATTCTGGGAATCAAAGCAGGACTACAAATTTAAACCTTCTGCAGATGGTGAAGCCTTGACTGCATTAAAACAGCTTTACGGGCAGACTTTTGAACTTTAAAACCAGGAAAAGATAGAAGTTAATGAATCCTGGTTGTTAACAGAATAGACTTCCCTGCTTGCTGCACTCAGTCATCATAAGTCAAACCAGTCAAGCAGGAGCTGTGATACCAAATCCAGGCACATAAACACATGACGATAGCTACTTTCTTAACAATAATTTTGCAATCAGAGCTATTAGATGTACTCAAGTCACAGACGTTGGTATCACTGGTGAGTCACCGGCGAACTTTGCTGTCTGGCATCTTCTGGTCAAAGAGGAGACACAGATCCCAGCACACAGTCACACACATACCTACGCACACACACCTATTTCCCATGTTGCGCTGGCTCTCATCATGACCCAAGGCTGATGAAGGTATGTGGGTCATTAAGGTCTGGTCAGACCACATCAGTGACTGAGCTAACCTGAATGCTAACGATAATGAGGCAACAGCAGGGAGTCTACATGTACGATCTCCTGAGTCACAGGGGCTTCTGGGAAACATGGTGCATTTAAAAGTCAACAGATGCAGTGCCTGGGTGTGCATTTAAGTGCGGACCTATGTTTGCTTGTGACTCGTAAACGGTAAACAGCTCCTAGGGGGTGTAATTCCATTGAAGGAATTTCAAGGAAAGCCTATTATCTGTTTATCGCCATTGGATGCGTCATGTTTTCCCGTTGGGTAACAAGCAGTTAAAGTCCACCTGATGATGTGATGAGCTGTAATTGCCACAATGTGGCCTGTTGGGCCTGCAGCAGAGGAGCGACGAGAAGAGGGGAAAAGCGGAGAAGTAAAGAACGGAAGGGATGGGAGAGGAGTGAGCAGCACATACTGTACATGCACTTTCCTCGTCTCCACTTTCTTATACACGCAAACCTGGTTTCTTAGAAAGTCTTCAGGCACACATACAGTATAAATCCATGTATCTGCTACCGCTAAGTGCGGCTACGTATAAGGCAGTGCTGTGGCACTGCCTGGTACGTAGCCCTAAAAGTACGTAGCCCTAAAAGTGCCCTAAAAGTGCAGGACTTTGTCATCTATTAATGTTGAGTGGTTGTAAGGTAAGTTGCTCCTCTTTGCTCTACTTGGGTTCCTTCCACTCCACAGAACGAGCTCTCTGGAGGTTATGTTGCCCAACATGACACACACCGGCTCTCTGTCTTCTGACCCACTGACACACATATTAGGATATGTTGCCTTCCCGAGGTCCTCAACAGCCAATGGCGGAAGGAAACTGACCAGGAAATGCCAAAGAATTATGGGACTCAGAGTCTCTAAGGAGAAAACTGATCTGTAGACAGCGGATAGATTTACAGATAGCAGTGCCCTGTCTGACCTCCCCACATCCCTCCTTTGGAAGATCTCGTGTGCGTATGTGTGCACAAAGCAGGCGGTCTAAGACAAACTTCTCTCTTTCAGACAGTTTGCTTCCTTTTGAGGCATAGGACTTCTTCAGCGTAGACAAACACACATAAACAAGGATACAGCCACACGTTTGCACACACAACACACAACACACACAGAGAGTATAGTGTTTAGACTTCATGAAGAAAGAGTCAGAACAACTTCGGCCCCATGTGGGAATTCTCTTGAGTGGTCCCATCCTAGTGATGGATGGCCCAAAGTCAGTGGTGCTTTGAAGCTGAAAGAAGATGAATTTCGTGTACCATTTTCTGTGATTTTCTCTCTCTCTTGCCTCATCGCTTCACTCTCCCTTTCATTTTGGACGCACTTGAGCATCCATCCTCCCTCTCTCTACTGAAAAGATGGATTTCGTGTTCTCAGATGTGTGCCATTGAGAACAGCTTTTGTAAAATAATCTGGCTACCTAGAGCTGGGTCACTGTGTTACTCTGTTTTTACTGGGTTAGCATGGCGCACACACACACACACACACACACACACACACACACACACACACACACACACAGAGACCTGATTAAAGGAGTATGAAGCTTTCCCCAGCTGCCTGTTTGTTTAAGGCCTTTCTTGTTGGCCTCCTGTGTCCATATGTGTTAATACAGCTCTGCTCTAATCAGGATGTGCTTGTGATGTACGGAGGGCTTGGACTGAGGTTTGGGATGTGCAGCTGTAAGCACAGCAGCAGGATCATCACACCCATGTTTACACCAGCAGCTGCACTTTGATACACATGCAGACACACACGCACTGCACAGACATAGCCTACAGTACAGGGCCAAATCTTTTATGGTTAGCGATGTCAATGAAAAAAAAACATCTTCTTCCCCCAGTAGTGCCACCTGTGTCTGTTCCAGGCTGCCTGATCTACTAGCAGGCCTGGAGGCCATTACCGAGCTGTTTACTCTGCAAAGCCACTAATTAACACTAATTAACACACACATTCCACCTCACAGACATTTTATGTGTGCACACCTTCTTTACACATGCACATAGGAATATGTAAGAGGAGAGTGAATGTGTGTGTGTGTTTTTACGTGTGTGTGTGTGTGTATTTGTCTGTTTGAATAAACTCGATGGCCACATGTGGGCTATCCTGACCACACAGTCAGACTCTTCCAGAAGCAATTCATCACTTCATTCATTCATGTTTGTGTCTCAGGTCATTAAATATTAAGTATGTGTGTGCGTATACACACACACACACACACACACAGTCAAGGATGTTTCCAGATATGGTTATAGTTATATGAACTAGAACAAGTAATATGGTTTTTTTTATTAGATTAGCAGTAAGGGCTAAACACACATCAGCCTCTTTGACCCTCGTCCACAAATTAGTTTTAAAAATAGTTCTTGTGTTTCAGTGTTAAGCACTGGAGAAGAGTCTGTGTGGAAGCACCTACAGTATTCACCAGCAGTACAGTTGTTACATCAGCTGCATGGTATATGATAGTTATTGTCCTAAACTCAATGACAGGTGTCAGCTCTGTAACTGTTGCATTGGGGCTAGCCACACCCAGTCACACCTGCTAGTGTCAACACCTGAGGTCATGGAGGGCAGTACACCTCAGCCTAGCCTTTAACTGCTCTAACCACTGGTCTGGTGTCTGTCTGAGCCCTCCTCCATCCCTCACTCTTCATCTTTATCTCTGTCTGTCTCTTTCCCTCTCGCCATGGTGTCAGTGTTCTCGCCTTATCTAAAGCTGCTCTTCTCCAGTTTAAGCTAATTGCTAACCTCTTTAATACTAGCCACATCCTCTCCTGTGATCCTGACTGGCTCGTTTCCTCAGTCATTAGGCCTCAGCTCCTTATCTCAGCAGCGATGTCCCCAGGCCGGTGACTACTGTAACACCATCTCCCTCCTATCTTCACAGCTGACTCAGGCTCTTTTGTCTCTTCCTGCCACGGCTGTCTCTCATTTAAACAAGGAAAGCCGCAGCATCTTGGATGAGAGATGTGTGCATATCTTTCCCTCGAATCATCCTCATCCAGTATACAGTCCCACCTCCTGCTCTGCATTCATGTCCGCTCTCAGGGGAAGTATCTGCAGTTAAGGGAATAAAGTTGAGCCTGTCAATATATCTGCACCCACTCTGTCTCTGTCTATCTCCCAGACAGCTGGCCTCACTGGAGTTAGGCTGATTGTTAATGTTAGTTGGCCTAGGCTCTTATCTCCCTCCAAAGCAGTGATGTTGGCAGTATGACAGCCATAAACACTCGCACAGATGCACAGACACACACACACACACATACACACACACACAAACAAAGGACACATAGTCTTACTTAGCCATTTACAGGCATGCAGAAAGATGCATATTTGAGTGTAATTTTAATCAGTGACATCTAAAATGAGGTTGCTTCACGTGGGCCAGAACGCCTGTGGCCTTAGGATACATGAAACACTCGCTAACTGTTCTTACTAGGATTCGTCTAATCCAATTAAATGATAATCTGCTATATGGATGACATTTGACAGAGTTACGATATTTTCATCAGGCACTCCGACTCACTCAATTTATGACCTGTCAAGTGTGGTTAGCGGCATTTTCTTTTTTTTATCATCCTTGATGGCTTTCAACACAACCCCCCCCCCCCCCCCTCCCCCCCCCCCCCCCCCCCCCCCCCCCCAATCCAAGAATCCCTCAGCCTAATCATTCTGAGAACATTTTCAAAGAACAAAAAAGTAGTGTTAGGCCAATCAACGGCCCAGTGTATGTCTGTTATAATAATGTGTATAAATCTTCTTGTTTTTTTTTTTTTCAGACTCAGAGCAGAATGAAGCTGATAGCAGACAACTACGAGGAAGATCACATCCACCCCCAGCATCATCCTCACCATGCTCACCACTTGCATCCAGCAAACGTGCATCACCGAAGTCTGCCAAGAGGGCCCCCACATGCCAACCACAGACCCCCTATGGACCAGGTAAATATGAATGTGCACGCGCACACACAAGACGCACACTCGCCCACACCAACCAGTTCAAAGCTCGGGGCTTGTTTATACGAGATGACATGTCGTAGGCTCTCATCATCATGCTTTTAAGTCAGTTGTGGTCGGACACGGCAGCATAAAATTTCCCCCTCTGTCTTCTACTCGTCTCTTTTCCTTCAACTCCGTTACTTCCTGCCAATTCAGTTATTCATATCATTTAGATAAGAGGCCTGAAGGGTGAAGCTGCCAAATGAGTGTTTTTGATCGATGGGGTTTGTGTGTGAAATTAGTTTATATATCAGTCATCTTTCATATGAGCGCCTAGTCTCTGTCTACGTATCATACCCAGACTGCCCTGAGGAAAAACTTAATTTGTCTGTTTGAAGACAGCTGAAGAACAAACTGTTGTTGTTATCAGCACAAAGTGTGTGTGTGTGTGTGTGTGTGTGTGTGTGTGTGTGTGTGTGTGTGTGTGTGTGTTTGTGTTTGAGCGTGTGTTTGAGCGTGCACGCATCCAAGTGCTCGTAGCCATGTGCATGCTTGTACACGTGCCTGTGTAGATGCACATAGAGATGCACACCTGAGTCTTTGTTGATACTATGTACCCAGATGAAATCGCTAACGGGAGAAAGCAATCTTCAAAGACAGAGGTGATTTCACTATCATTCCATTCGCTGATAAAAGCGTCTTGATTATTTGAATGCAATACAAACCCATCACAGCTCTATTGTTGTCAAGAGGCAGTGATGGGGGGGGGATTCCAAACTATGAAGTATGTGTGTATGTGTATGCGGTGGTTTAAGACAAATACCTTGGGGATTTCCAGCTGAGTCCAAATTCCCACATCTGCTCTATTTGATATGCACTATTACATGTTTCTAGACTTTATAAATGTTTCTGAAACTGCTGCCTAAATTGGACTCAAACATGCACTGGGGATTCCCTGTCCTTAATATCTCCAAAACACACGCCCATGCGCACAAGCACACAGTCATATCCGTGTATCACCCCACACACAATATGTAAGAGGACAGGATCACTGCTTTTTTACGCCTATGGAAGGATTCTGTTTTTGATTCCTGAAAGAATGTGAGGGCCTGGGCTTGATTGACATCCATATGCACACTTTTCACTCAAGAACCTCAGACACACTTGAGTTATAGATTACAGTGGAGTATATTTATGTGCACATTTGCATCCTTTTCAACTGTAGAATGAATCTACATCTAATTTTACGGCATTCATACGCTTTGGTATATAGAAGTTTCGAGTGCAGACACTGACATGGAACATAGCTTAACCCTCGAAATCACCTCGTAATCTGACAAGGACGACTTTTGAATTCTTGCCGTGTAGTTATTAGGTTATGTTATGTTATGTTTTACATCTGACTTGCTAAAATAATATTTTCAAGCTATTAAGTCTCAGTATTGTTCTGTTGTATCGCAGAAGACTTGTAACCACAGTGCGCCTCGTATTAAACTCTGAGCTGCGGGGGGTCATTTTTTAGTATCACACATTACTCCCCTTCACTCTGCATTTATAAATATCTTTCCCTCAATACGGCTACACAGCACTGTTTTACTGCAGCGGCGTTTATAGTGTTTGACATATGAAACAGTAGCTCTCTGCAAGTGATATTTCAACTTTTTAAGCGTGACTGAAAAAGCCAACGAAAGTATTATTAGTATTATTAGTATTGCCGGGAAATCTTGTTAAGAATGTAGGGAATAACAAAATAACTCATAAATCCATGCCAATTGGCTGAATTATACTCTTATTAAAGTTGAATTTTCAAGGGAACTGTGATGGTTCATACCTTGCATGCAACATTTGGGAAAAGATGAAAGTCGATTAGGTTTCAAAACGGGCTAAAAATAGATATGTTTTAATCGTTGATAAAAGATAACTTGCGAAGGAACAAAATGTCCAAAACAAAGATGTGTATCAAAGTGTCATCATCCCCTTCTGTTCACAAATTACAACCAAACCGATCTTGTGTCAAACACACACGCTTTAAAAACAACCAACAGACCCTGTTGACAGAGGTCAGCCAAACTCCTCATGGCTTTTCCTCATATCTGATCTTTGACCTCATGGGGAAGTTCAGCAGAGGTCCAAGGTGTGTGTGTGTTTGTGTGTGTGCACTGGTGATGGGGGGTGGGTGTCAGGTCACGCAGTCTGGATGTCCCTGAAGTCCCTGAGGTGAGACTGTTTTCTCTCCAAACACGGGACTTCACATCTCCTTTAATCTCCCTCTTTCATCTAAATGTGATTAATTACGCTATTTGTTTATCTTGAACACTTTGTTCTGTCTATCTCTACTTTTATTTCTATTACTTTGCCTCCTCTCTGCCTCTCTCCACTGCACTCATCCCTCTTCCATCTCTTCTTTTACCCCTTTAACACCACTTTTCATCCTGGTGTGTTTTCTTCCCGCCCATGTTCTTTCTCTCCATTACTCCCTGTCTCTTTCATTCTTTCCTTCAGTCCCTTCTCTCTCCCTCCATGTTTCCCATTTCAAATGTAACATCCAAGTGCGGCCAGGCCAGTGGTTCAGTACATTGCCGGGTCCAGAAACGCCACTTGAAGGATGATTGATGATGATAATGATAATGATGATGAAGAAGGTCTGCAGGCTCACCCTGTAGACCGCAATGCCTTTCCAAGATACAGCTAGTGCCATGAATAACATAACAGTGACCACACATGCTTTTTTTTTTTTTTTTTGCATTTGAATTTGCGTGTGCTCAGACACACATACACATACACTGCATGCACACCCATTGCACATTTAAAACGCATAAGCACATATGACTGCACTGGAATAGTGGACACACAACACAAACACAAGAAGAGCACTTCAAAGTTTTTCAAGGATCCAAACCACATGTCATTCAAAGCTCATTGCTACAGTTAGCGGGTCCATCCCAATCCTCTAACTACACTCACCGTACTTAATCTGTGATGAACTTAGTCAGAGGTACAGGTGAAATCTAATTGGAGGAGACAAGAACAGGAAGTGGATTTTGCCTCTTGAGATGCACCTCAGGTCTATGTCTCAGTATGGAGTGTGTGCACTTTGACGGGCATATTGCGTTCATGTTGTTCTCATTTAGCCATGCCAGCACCACTGCCAGATACTTGGCAGCAGCCTCGGAAGGAAATAGAAAACAGACATAAAGTGTTTATCAGAGACAGAATTATACAACCTTTTCTTTTGGGTTGTTATTATTTTTTTTCTAAGCCTTTACATGCTGCCTGCTTTAGGTTTATGAGAAGTAGCACATGGTATTTGGCTTGTTTGTGTGTATGTGTGTGTGCCTCTTTGAGTGTGTGTGTGTGTGTGTGTGTGTGTGTGTGTGTGTGTTTAACCTGGCAGAATGAGTGGTTATAGGTCTGGCTCTGTTTACAGGGCCTGTCACAGCCATTCAATCCATGTTAGCATTTAGCATCTAGCATGCTCCATTGAAAGGCCATTATATCTATAGCTTAGCTGCTTAGGTGTAGCCTACTGAGTTTACCGAGCCTGTCACAACCATTTAGTCCAGCCAGACCCACTGTGGACTGCAGCCAAGTCTCCTTTTTTTCTCCCTGGTGTAGCGTTAGCATAGACTCTGCTTTGCCGGAGCTTAGTTTAGCATTATGTAGGCAAGGGCTTGGCTACAGTAGGCTGCCAGCTCATGCTAACCATCGTAATGTTAGTGTCTGAGTGAATTAGCCTTCCTGTTAGCAGGGCTCTTGTCTGCACAGTTTCAGCCCTAAGGAAACCCCTTGTGTGTTTAGTTATTGGTTCCTAACATTCACACTGAGGAAAGCATTTCATGATATCATACACAGCTTTTCGGAATGAGGAATATGAATGGGATTGTTTTGATTAAAAGCCACAGGGGACTAGGAATACTATAAGGCTGGGCAATGAGACTCTACTTGTAAAGATTTAACCACTGTGCCAGACTTTGTACAGCAAATAGCTTGTTTTAAAGGGAAGGCATCTTTTGCCACACACTGGACATCTTGTCTTATGACATGAATTGTATCATATAAAGTGATGGTTAATGGATGGATGGTGACATTGATCACATTTCCCCTGTTCTTCTCACAGGATGATGAAGAAGGAATATGGGCATGATGACCAGCACCATGGGACCCCTGCATCCATTTGTTCATAGTAAGTTTCTGTTACACAGCTATTGCTACCTTTCTTTACTAACTTTTTATTTTATATACTCCATGCCGGTGTGTAGTACTGTGTATCTACTCCAGATATTTTAATGATCTTCTACACAATAGGCTTGTTCAATGGGCTCGAGAAACCATTAGCTGGGAACATTGATGATACCACAATAACCAAAACATTACCCAAATCTGACAGAATAGAGTGTAAAAGAATCCGGCTTCTTTTCCTGTTGCTTATGAATTTCAGTCGACTAAAGAGCCTCAGTTGATTCAGAGGTTTATGGCTGGCTTTCTGTGCAGTGCTCATATAGTTGTCGTGCCGTGGCTATATAGGTAACTGTGTGGTATTAGACCTATACAAACCCAGCAGCTTAAAGCAAGCATACCAGGGCCCAGAGGTGATAAAAACGACACAGTGAGAAAAACCAGAGATGGACGAGTCTGTCTCTCCACGCCCCGCTTTTTCAGTTGTAGTAAAGTTTTACCGCGCTACCCCACCCCGTTGTGTGTGCCAGTGTGTGGGGTATTTAATTACAATACAACGCAGAACAGTCATGAAGGCTTTTTTTTTTCTTTTCTTTTTTTCTTTTTTTTCTTTTTTTTTTAGGCTGTGAGCTGAAAAAGCATAAAATGAAGAATGCAGAGTCATAAAGGATAATTCCTGTTTTGCGGGTTTTATATCGAAGCCCCCCCATAGACTCAGGATGTCTTTGAACATAGATGTGCGGAAAGAGGTCTGTGCAGGGAGGGTTATGGTTTGTTTGGTACTAATAGAAGTGTGAGTAAGTCAGAGACAGACAGAGATGTATAAATGTACATGTGAGAGACGAGAGAGATAGAGAAAGAGAGAAGGGGAGAGAGAAGGAAAGGGCGCTTATGTATTTATGTGTGAGTGAGAGAGAAAACCAGGCAGCATGGTATACTCATAGTTTCCAGTGCATCTCATTCTTTTCCCCCAGTAATCCACAGGTGGACCATCACAAGCAAAATCTGTCTCTAACCTCAGTGACTTAGTAGTTGTGCACTTTGCCCCAGCGCTGCTTTTGGGATTAAGAGTCCTATAGCTCGTGTGTGAGCAAATGGTTTGTCTTACTGCAGTGAAAAGCTTTAGTGTGTTTAGCTATGATGTTTGTGTGTGCAAGTGCAAGTGTATGTGCATGTGCATGTGAGTATGTGTGTGCAAGAGAGCGTTGCTGAGCTATACAGTGCCGGAGCAGCCCACATAGCCTATAATCCAGTCCATGTGTGCTGAGAATGCAGTAGTGTCAGGATTCACCATAATGAAACAGACCACACTGCCCTCTTTCTCCCTCTCTTTCCATCTCTCCATCTTTTTCCATAACTCCCGTTCTTTCCACCTCTTGCGTATATTCCTTCAAGGTAAACCTACAGTTGGACCCATGACTAGCCTACTGCTTCGGTATCTCCAATCAGATATCATGACGGTGTGTGTATGCACATGTGTGTGTGTATGTGCATGTGTATTAGTGCTTCTTATCCCAATCTAATAGAATAAGCCAGGCACATTAGCCTTTAGCGCAGAGTGGTGTTGTGGCTAGCGATATCAGTGCTGCTCATCTATCCACTGCTGTTATTCTGGCAGTGCACAACGCGAGCGCAGCTAACGTGTATTAGCCATCCTCTATGGGAGAACAGATGGGAGCCATTTAGCGGTGTGTAGCTACAGCACAATAAGGCCAGACCTAATCCCCATATCCTGTCCCTGAGTGAGCCCTCCCTAATATGAGCAAACAGAGATGACAGCACCGATAGACAAATAGCCGGGGATCTGTGTGTCTGCGTGCATGTGTGTATATCAGTGTCTTTGCAGGCATGCATGCTAGCTTTGATTGGTGTTTCTTATGGTTAGCCTTGGCTCCCAGTGCTAGGCTGCATTTTGAATTCCACACAAACCTAAGTGCTGAGTTTGAGTTGGCAAGTTTGAGTTCTGAACGTCCAGGTGTGGATTTGTATTGGTTAGCCATGGTTCTGTCTAAAAGGACACTGGGCTCTGATTGGCTCATTGTGGTTGTGTATGTCCTGCTGTTGATTACAGAGGTTTTGTTTACCCTCTTGGCCTCCCAGACCCCGGTCCTAATGAAATAAGAATGTCCTTTTGGACAGAGAGCACAAGAGAAGGGGGTTGGAGGAAAAAGTGAAGGAGAACATGGGGCCAAAAGAGTGAAGCAGAGTGGGGGGAAGAGGTTTTCTGGAAACATTATGCTTTTATCCCACCGTGAAGTTATTTGTACTGAATGAAGCGAAAAGAAGCTGAGAGGCTTTCCAAGTGGGGACAGAAATGCGTTTGTGTACATGTGTGTGTGTGTGTGTGTGTGAGTGTGTGTGTGTGTGTGTGTGCGTGCTTGTGTGTGTGTCTGTCTGTGTGTGCGTGCGCGCGTGCGTGCGTGTGTGTTTATGCATGTGCACATGCAGGAAGGAGTGAGGCCTTGTTCAGGTTAAAACAAGTCAAGAAGATGGCTTTCATTTGCCCATGCTGTGTTTGCACTGAATACAGTGTTTGTATGTCTGCATTGTGTATGCCAGTAAGTATCCAACTTGTGTATGCACGGCTTAAGCAGGTCTAGAAAAAGGAGCCTAAGTTCAGTGGGAAACTGAAATTGGACAGCACAATCCCACTTATTATTCTAAAATACAATTTAACTGAACTGTTTGTGCTTGACTCTTAATTGCTTGTTTCTGTTTGGTTCTAACTTCGAGTCCAAGGGCTCCTCGCTACCAAAACTGACCTGACAACTTATGTAACTCATGAACCCAAACTAGAGCAACCATGGAAGCAAAGCAGGCAGGAAACAGTGAATTTTGTTGACAAGACGATAGATTCCCCCACCAGCGGCTGACTGTGGGAGGCGCCCGGTGGCCTCTCTATTTTCTGTCAGGAGTTTTGTGGGGAACTGGAAAACTGATAGGGATGCTTTGCACAGATAAGCCCTCTATGACGTTTTCATCCTGTTGAATGTACACATAGGTTTCAATCAGGATTTATCCTGTTAAAACCGAACATTATTTTTCTCACTTTATACTGAGCTGGTGTTGAAATGAAATGTAGGAAAGAAAGCTTTTCTTTTTTTCTTTTTTTTTTCCTCTGAGGTTTTCTCTGAAATTTGTTTTTGGTTATCAAAACAAATGTAGCCATACCGGTTTCGTCACGTTTCTGTAGATTTATGGATTTCTGTAAGATTGGACTTTTATGAAAGTCAGTCTGTGGGTGTTTATATCACAGTACATTCACACACAACCATGTGTGGAACTGCATGTTTCCTTCTGGCTGCAGTTCACTGTTGTTAGGTTAAAAAAAAGGTTAAAAAAAAAAACCCCAGTGTTCTATCTGTACATCCTTAATATGAAACTTGAACTGAGTACAGACTATAAATGCAGTGCAACAGAAATGACAGCTAATATCGGCTGGTAGAATTGACGTCAGTTTTCTGTAACCACAGTTCTGCAGCTGAGATCACACCAGTTTTTGCCTGCAGCAGGTGAGATCACTCTTCTTTGTGTTCCCTTATCCTCAGGTTGGTAATGAAACCTCAAAACACTCACTCACACATAAGACTTGATATTGGGAAAAAAAAGAAAAAAAAAAGATGTCTGTGTGGGAAATTACATGACCTTTCAGTGTCTGTACAGTTTCTCAATTATGATCATAACAGTTTAGAGCTCAGACGTGTCTGCTCTTAATGTCACTGTGTTCACATTACTTTTAACAGTAAACAAAATGCCATGCTTTAAGTATCAGGCTGAATTATCATTGGTACGTTTGCCCGCGGCATCTAAAATGGTCGAGCAGGCCCTGCCACTTTTTCTGCCCTGTATGCCCTGTTGAATCTCTCAATTATCCCACGCGTTGTTTATTACAAGCTGATGGCGCATATTTTACAAGTTGCCTAAAGAAATATCTGCCCCATGTTATTAACACAACTCAGGAAGTGTTAATTAATGAATACGTTGGTGTAATTATGGATTCTCCAGACATTAAGGTGTGAATCCGAGATAATGGTTTAGTCTTATTGCAGTATTCTACATCATGAATTAGGTTTGTGTGTGAAAATGGAATTAGTTGAAGAAAAGTCTCTAGCCAGATACTGATTATCAAAAAAGCAAACTACAGTTGTACGTTAAACTTAAGTTGTTACATTTGCTGCTCTGTTTGGCTTGTTACAAGAAGTTATCAATTACTCAACACTTTTTGTTTTGAAATTGCATTTTTGTTTGATATAAAAGGTCCAAGTACACTTTTACTTTCTGGAACAGACAGAAAACCTCTGTTTAGGCCATGGAAATGCCTTTCAATTCCAGCATTATATGTATATGTATGTATGTATATACATATTAAATTCCATGCTGTAGTCTATAGCAACCCATTGAGCCAGTTCCCACAATCCCCAACTTCCACCTGTGTGTGTATGCGTGATTATGCGTAAACATGTGTGCACATGTTACGTACACACTTGTGTGTACATTTGGGTCATGTTTGCGTACGTCCTTGCACACATGCGTGGCCGTGATGTGCCACGTGTTTTTTTGGCGGCCAGTGAACCACAGCTCGGAGGTCAGTAGAGGTGTCTGACGGAGGCCATCCCTCAGCCAGCTGTCAGCATCATCAGTCTGTGAGGTCAAAGGTTGTTCCACCAGGTTGAACATGAGTGGGGAGAAGTCAATAACTCAGCAACACCTGAGCACAGACATCTGAGTGGGCTGCATGTTGTTATCTATTTCACAGCACCCTGAAACAACACTGGAATTATTTTCTAAACCGCCCTCTTCTTGTGAAGATGTGAGGTCCGCTCTCTGTCTTTAAGGGTACTGAGACTCGAGCAAAACAGTTACTGTGGTAGCATTCACAAATAAGTGGTTCTGAGAACTCACTTACTGTATATCTAATAGTACAGGGGGGCTGTAGTTCTTGAATCCTAAAAAACTTATGTGAAAAATAAAAAATAAAATAAAAATGTCATATTGTGCAACAGAGTA